TATTTCTTGTCTGCAAGCGGTTTGGGAATGTGGGCGTTGAGCAGTGTGAGGGACAGATGCCGCCGTTGTTCCACGCTCCACTTATCACACTAAGGGCGAGTAGCTGACAAGTTTTTTTGCATTCACATGTTTACTAAGATTGAATATGTTATTTGTTTTTTTCTTCACAGAAAGTACGATTCTGGAGCTTACTAAGTACATATAACACGGGTATGCTAAAGCGTCTACTTTGGGTCAATTTGCAATGGAATACTACGAGATAGAATAAATCTGAGCCTTTAGAAAGTACGTTTGCGAGTCGTTTGCTATTTGAAAGTTAGCGAGTGTTAAAATATGTGGTAAAGATGAAGTTTTCAAAGAAAAATTGTCAAAGATAGAGCGGCAGAATTATGCTTGTATCATCAAGAAATATGAAGATAGGGCTTGATAGCTGCAAAACTTTGGAGTACTTTTTTAAATGGCCTTTGAAGAAATACCGTAGGATAGAGCTAATCCTGGGATTCATACTGGTTTTTCGGTTCTACTCAGTCCACAAATGTTTCCAGTACCCACAACGACCCATCGCAGTCCAAAAGCCTACTAAAACAAAGCTTAAAGCTCGCCTCTGCGCATGAGTAGACTGCCTTGGGTAGTCCATAACCCATTTCTGTAAAGGAATGGCGATGAAAACATTTGGAACAAATATGCTCAACGAGGTTTACAAGGTATTATCTTTGGAAGCTTATGAGGATATAAGGACCGTCGTAGCTTCCTCAGAGTACAAGACCCCAGCTGTTCGATCATTTTTAGTTTTCATAATTTTTTCCTTTTATGAAAAACTTTCAAAACACATTTTGGCTTGGGCGTCAAGATAAATTTAGAATTATTTCGTAGAGTAAATTTGATTTTTGGTTCTTGAAATATTTAATTGCTCTCAACAGTCACCTTTAAAATCTTGAAATGATCCAAATCTAGAGAAAGCACATTTTACAGCAATCATTTAAATACTATTTGCTTGAGTAAATGTTGCAATAGCTTGGTGATAGATTGCCATTTTTTCTCTTAAAACATCGTACCATTGCATTATAAATAGGCTTGAATCAGGTCTTGCCAGCAGGTCTCCAGAGAGGAAGCTGGAAATCGTTTTTGGGAAGGAGAGCAAGAGGAAATTCCGTCGGGAATAAGATTCGTAATTCTTACTTTTCGCCATCCCCAATGCTATTACAATCGTCTCCAAAAACTACCTATCATTTGAACAACATGTCCACAAATCTGCTCCAATCTTGAGAGGCATATGCGCGGGAATTTCAAATGCATATTTTAATAATTCAGTTAAACTCGCTTTTCTGGGCGAATAGCGAATGAACGGCATTCAGCGGTAAGAGGATGTGCAATAAGAAGTTTAAAAGATGTATGCAAAACTTTGGAAACTTGTGAGTATGAGAAAATTGCCGTACCTTTTTGTGATATAAGTCTTCGGCGTAGACCAACGGGAGACCTCGAGTCTCCGACTAGCAATCACTTTTTTGTTCCTTGTAATTTTGATTTCGTTATATGAAACACTTTTTATGCACCCCCTTGACTCAATAGGCAAACCAGATCAAAGCAT